GTGTCGGCTCGAACCTTAGTTAATTTCTCACTCTCGTGGAAAAATCATGTAAAATAAACTCTCATTCTCATGACAAATCTATTTAAATTAAGTTTAAAAACAACAACCAAAACATAAATTTCAAATTAATTAATTAAGCCAACATTATTACTGAGTCCCGTCAGAAATGACGGTCCTCACATACCGGACTCAAAACTATTTAGCATAACATACTTAAAGAAAGAAATATGCAATTATAATTATTAACCATGAACATAAGCATATTTAGATTTGTAATGATAAAGCAATATTATAAGAACAAGAAACTAAAATAATTGCAAATAAATAAACCTGGAAGTAAAGCATATGAGATAAACTTGAATAAAGCTATGAACGAAATAAATCTTGAAACTTGAATAGAGCTTTGAAATAATATCAGCAAGATTGATCCAAGCGTTACACAAATTATAGGCCTACACTAATGGTGTGGTAGTTTCTCAATATGAGAAACTACCACTTTTACATGAGTAATTTGCTGCCTAAAACTATGAGCAGCGCTTCCGCGCACAAAACTTAGATCCATAAAACTAGTTTCTAAGATCCTATATATAGAGAAATAAAATTGAAGTTACTTCAAGCTTTATGTGAGAAGTAGTGGAGATAATGGAAAAGTGGAGAAAGAAGTGGAAAAATGGGAAGTTGAAAAGATCATGGGGTGATAATGGGAAGTTGGGCTTCGTGAGTGGTTACGTGAAGAAGACGTGGAGAAGACCAAAAGAACAAAATACGTGGCGCATAAAAGAGCCTGTGGCGAGGGGAATCTCTTATGTGTCGTGGGGCACACAAACTTCTAAATTGTGGCGACCGTAACACCATGTGTGCCGAGGGGCACATATATTTTCAAGGCGTAGTGACTGACATGAAGGTTGTAAAGACTGTCACAGTCTTCTATCATGCATTTTCCTTCTATTTTTCATAATTTCTTCAATTCTTTTCAGTGTCTTGGTCATTTCTCATTCTTTTTCACATAGAAGCTTTGTGTCAGCATGTACCTGAAATGAAATAGAAATACTGACATAATATGACCTAAATAAACCAAAAGGATAATACATTGCATTCTAGTCGAGCTAGGAAATATGATATAATTTCGTGCTATCAGTCACCTCGGTAGCAATCTCTCAACCAGTTCAACAACACAGAAGTCAACCGTGTTCGCTTGCATCGACGATCTCCCAGAGCGACACAAACAGCACAGAGGCATTAATCACAGACACCCTAAGTAAATAACAACACTAAATCTATCTCTAGAACTCAGACACTATTAGATAATCATCCTAGATAAGAATCTAAGCAGTATATGTCTATAACAACTCAAATCCCTAGCACAGAGCAAAAATCAAGGATAACAATCAACAAAGATTTGTAAAACAAGTTTTATATAACGCCAAAGGCGGAAAATATACATGAGTTCAAAGTAAATACATATACAAATCCAACTAATAAAGAATACACAAATAAAAAGAGAAATGAACCACAAATCTATCAGTTTGTCAACGCCGATCGAAAAGCAATCCACCCTGGATTATCCGTATGCAAACTCTATAGTTGTTATATAAGCTAATCCTAACAAAATTAAAGGTTGATGGGGTTGAGAGAAAAAACTTCCCCAAAACCATAACCTAACAGATGAATGAAATGAAGTTATAAAATAAATCTCAGCAAACCGCGCTAAGCAGACCTGGTGCGCTAAGCGCGGCTTCTTTATTTTACAAATTAAAATTCCATAAACCATGCTAAGCGCGATATCCACACTAAGAGGGCTTCAAAATAGTGCTTCTACCAAAGTCAAAACGCAAGCAGCGCACTACAAAATATGTTGAGCGCACTCGCGTTTAGCGGCCTTTTGCGCACTAAGCGGGCTCTCCTGGGAAAAACTGGTCTTTTATTCTGAAAACACGTATCCGGAGCCGTGCTTTCGATACTTTATTCCTCAATGCTTCAAAATACAACAAATACTGACAAAATTAATGGAAAAACATCAAACAGTACACTATGTACACAAAATCACAAATAAACACAAACTAAATGTATTTACATAAAAGTCGGGTTTATTCAACGATATTAACAATGAAGAGTCGATAAGTGCAAAAAAAAGTATATATAAAAATAACTACAATTTGAACTTATCAAACTCTCCCCAACTCGAACTTGTTTGTCTTCAAACAAGGCCAAACAACTAAAAGAATCACAAGTAATCAACGAAAATGTCATGAATCAACAAGTTTTAAAAATGGAAAACAAATGTATGGTTCAAACAAAAACGCACACACAAAGTAAATACTAACCACAATCCTACAATGACAACATATAAACGAAACGAATCATAAGTACAAAAATCATACTAAACATTCTAAAACAAAACAAGCTTAATCATGAATCACACATAGTAAAAATTTATCGGTAGATCAAGAACACACAAAGGTGAGGGACAAAAAACACTCATCCATAATCTTGCAAACAATAGACTAAATTATGCATTCATCCAAAAACTCATATTGAAAATACAAAGGCAATAATCACAAGAGCTTTTTAAGGTTGTAATGTGACTTGGTTAACAAACAAGGGATAAGTCCTAAAGCTAATTGAAACAAAAACTTGCTTTAATCTAAGGGAATGATCAACTCACAAAGACTCAAGCAAAAAAATTTCAATCAAACTTATTCTTCACTCCAAATTCCTCAAACCAACACACATCACTTATTAACATAACATTATTCCATACTCTTTTTGTTTTTGATTTTCAAAACTTTTCTCTTTTTTTTTTCTTTCTTTTTTTTCACCTTTTTTTTCTTCTTTTTCTTTCTTTTTTTTTCTCAACCTCATAGTAATAAACTAATAAGTACACAATCATTTCTCTCTCCAACTCGAATTCAACCATATCATAATGTGAATACTCCCTACTTTCTAAGGCAAGGTAAAAATTTAAACTACAAATCATAGTTAAAGGTTCAAGAAAATAAAGAATCAATATAGATACAAAAAGACGAACCAAACACTCATAGACAAACATTTATAAAAAATAACATGGATATCGACAAAAAGGGTCAAAAGAGTTACTAATGATCACACACTCACAAGGTGAATTGAGTATTTGGCCAAGGTAGTTGTGCTCAAAATGAAACAAAATACCTTGATAACTTTCATACTTTCATACAATAAATACAAACAAAAGATTAAACATAATAAGATCTAGTTAAAACAAGAATTGTGGCTTCCAGCATATATGAATAATGGAAAGCTTCCTCATATTTATGGGTAAAAAGGGAACTAAAGTGATTCAAGTCATGAGCAAGTAATGTAAAAAGAATGAATGACATGGTAATTATTCAAACGATAAATTTCCTAAATATGTTATGTTATAGAAAACAATAAACGAGTACCTAAAGAGTACCAACTTCAAAAACTATTATTACCATACATCTGCAAGTTGACACGCTCAAAATAGGAAAATCACCAAATGCGACTTCGAGCTATCTAACCAAAATTTGAGTCCAAACGATAAAAGAAAGAATTAAAAATATTACTATTAATTATTATACTATAAAGCCTTGGGTTAAGTGGGAAAAAGGAGAGCCAAGTGAAAAATTAAAAAGAATTCACTGGCTCTGTACAGCAGGACGCGCTAAGCGGCACAGAGCGCGTTAAGCGCGCTACACCAGTTACAAAAAAATAAGACATCAACAGCGGTGTAGCAACACCCTCCATAATCACCTACACAATCTCAACTACATACAATATTTACAACATACAAACTTCCTCAAGCTAAACACGACAAGCTTGCGAAAAAACACAAATTGACATAACAAAACTAACGGGTGAAAGTGAATTAACAAGTTGAAAAGTGAAAATTTGAGAATTTAAAACAAGGCCAAATTCAACTTGTTAAAACACAAGTCAACACATACATAAACGAACACAAATAAAATATACTTGTTTATCGTTGTAAGCTCGACACCTTTATTGTGCGAGCTAGTAACTTTATCTCTTCATGCCAAGGTATTGTCAGACCATGCAAACCTAAATAAAATGTCCTAACATCTATACAACAAACGTTACGAGAACGAGACAATTCACAATAATACATGAAAACAAAGAAAAACACATATATCACAAGTATGAAAAATAAACACAAAACATGTACAAGTAAAATTAGACAAGTTAATGTACACATTCTATACAACATATATATTAATTACAAAACTCAAAAACAAAAAAACTTTCGCAATGCAAGACAATAAACACAAATCCCCGACAACGGCGCCATTTTGCTGAAGCGGTAAAGCGGCAAGCAAAAAGTAAGTTATTAATTTACTGAGTGATATTTAGGTTATATCGTATAGTGTCCACAGAGATTGGTGAATTGAAATGTCGTTCGATGAATCTCGCGTTAATGAGTTTGGGGACAAATGGGTTGAAAGGAAAAGTATCAACAAAAAATAAATATATAAAAAGGAAAAAGGAATAACTTATCAAGCATGCATATATACTACTTCTCATAAACTTAAACATATCGACCTGTTATACTAAACATATAATATTCATCAATGTCACCACGTTTCACTCACAACTTAAGTTATTTATAACCCAAATTGAGAGGCCGACTACATCACCTCGGTAGCGATCTCTAGACCACCTCAACAACGCAGAAGTCAACTGTGATCACTTGCATCGACAATCTCTCAGAGCAACACAAACAACACAAAGGAGTTAATCACAGGTATCCTAAATGAATAATAGCGTTAAATCTATTTCTAGAATTCAAACACTATTAGATAATCATCCTAGATAAGAATCTAAGCAGTATATGTCTATAACAACTCAAATCCTTAGCACAGAGCAAAAATCAAGAATAACACATAGATATGATTATGGATTGTATTTTGATTTCAAGTGTAGATGAAGATAAAGATATGCTTATGATTAGTGGTATTGATTTCAAGCAAAGAATAAGACGCAGATCCATGGTTTGTTTGTTGGTTTTACTTAGATCTGTGTTTTTGAACAGTGAGCTGCTCGGTGATGTGAAATGCTAAGATTAATTGATGATTTCTGATTATGTGTTTAACAAAAATTGTATTTTTATGATTTATTTGTTGTTGTGCACATATATTGCCTCTAATTAGAGTAAAAGTGGAACATTTGTGTTGTTGATTAAAGATATCAAGAAGGGCGTGGTTGGGAATTCTGAGGTTTTGAAAAGTAAATTTAGAAGCTTGCCACTGAATGGCTGTAGGAAGCTTTGGATGAAGGTTTGGATATTCGTCAAAGTGACAAAAGGTTTGCTGGTTCTATTTTCACTTTTATAGTTTGTATTTTTTACATTTTACATGAATTTTTTTTTGGATGAGTTATGGCTAATAAACTTTCTCAATGCAGCTCAGGTGGAAGATGTCTCTCTGTTGCGTATACTGATAAAACTGGAGAGGCTGCTAAAGCTTGGATTGAAGCTTCACATTGATGGAGCCCATATTTTTAATGTGTCAGTTGTAGTAGATTTGTATTTTAATGATTTGACAAAAAATTATGTTAAAGCCTTATCGCACCTCAGTATGCACTAATAGAAAAATAAGTTGATTTGAAATTGCATTTTCTCCATGTCTCCTAAACTATAGTTTCTCGCATAAGTTGAAATCACCTTCCACGTCTCATTTTTTCATAAAAAAGTTGATTTTTGCTCGTTTTTCAGGCACTCGGTATTCCTGTGGATAGGCTTGTCGAAGCAGCTGATTCAGCATTGATATGTTCTTTCTTTCTTTTCCACATTCAATTTTTTCTCTTCTTTAGCTAAACAGGTTTTTAATGTAGGGTTCTTGCATTCTTGACTTAGTAAGGTTATTTATAGGATATGGAATTGGAATTATCTCATATGTGGTAACTAATTGATAATCAACTTCAACTTATTTCATTCAAGAAAGTTTAACCTATTTATATATGTTGCTTCTTTATTGTAATGTTTCTAACAAAGATCAGCAATACAGATCAGGTTCCTGTATATATAGCAGAAATGGCACCCAAAAATCTTAGAGGAATGCTTGCAACAACAAATCAAGTGAAAAGTGTATATCTTTTGCCTAATTAAGTATGATTGAATTGGAGTTCAGCAGTGACTATATGATTGTAATTTTTAATAGGAAGTGTCATACATTGGAGACAACTAGCACTAGCAGGTAGTAATTCATATTAGTTTTGAATTTTTTCCTCAAGGATATAATTGATTAGAAATAAAATAATAACTAACTGTTGATTTAGGTTCATTTGGCTTGAACTTTTGAAGGATTAGTGCCTTGTATTAGCTTGCTGGTTGGTTCGTGCTTCATTCCTGAGTCTCCTAGATGGCTGGTAAGGATTAAGCTATAACGTCTGTTTGGATTAGCTTTTTGAACTTATATACTAATATAAGAACTTAAGAGACTATTTGAGAGAGCTTACGAAAACATGTTACGACATGTTAATAATTTTTCAGGCAAAGGTTGGTCGTGAAAAAGAGTTCCAATTCAAATACTTCGGGGCAAATATGCTGATATTTCTCATGAAGCTATTGAAATACCGGTACATTTCTGCTTTCTTAACACCATAAAAAAGTTCCAATTCATCGAACATGTTTGATGATAGAATCTGGATTCATTTTTGCTTACAGGATAATTTTGAAACTCTTCAAAAACTTCCTAAGGCTAAGATGTTGGACTTGTTCTAGAGCAAGTATGTGCATGTTGTGATTGTAAGTAACATACTTTACTTATAGAAATTAAGCTCATTCACAGAGAGAGAGAGAGAGAGAGAGAGAGAGAGAGAGAGTGTGTGTATATTATAAACTATTGTAACAATTTCATATTGGTGTTGGACTAATGGCATTTCAACAATCTGTTGGAATTAATGGCATAGGATTCTATACAGCTGAGATTTTTGTAGCAGCAGGTAACTAAGACGAAATGGATGCTGATTGTAAAATGTTTGGTTTAGTGGTGAATTTGGCGTGATTTCGTCAAGTTCACCGTGATTTCAAACATATTTCGTTCGTCATAGTTTTTATTGGTTCTATTTTAACTTGATTTTCAGGACTTTCTTCAGCAAAAGCTGGTACCATAGCTTATGCTTGTATACAGGTAATTGACCAATTTAATAATTTCTCAGAAACTAACCATATAACTAATATTGACCTTGTCTAATTTTTATGTTACATTCAATTATGACAGGTTCCATTTACCATGTTGGGAGCCATTTTGATGGATAAATCTAGAAGAAAGCCTCTCATAACAATAAATCTATTTGCAAATAGTTACTTATCAAATACAACTAAATGAAAAGCACAGAAAAACCTCATATTTAATTCAATAATTCTTGTATATATGTTCAGATTTCTGCGAGTGGAACATTCTTAGGCCGCTTTATTACCGGAATTGCTTTCTTTTTCAAGGCAAGTCTGTACTAAAACACATTTCTTTCATAACTTTTTAAAATGAGTTGGAATGAACTTACATATCACAACTTATTATTATAAGTCCTTCCTAACACTCACTCAATTACTTAGGCCAATATTTCAAATAGCTCTTTCAAATACTCCCATAGCGTCTGTCAGCATGTGTACATACCAATTCTCAATTCATCTTTATGGTTTCATATGGATCAGGATTAAAGCTTATTGCTTGAGTGGGTGCCAACATTAGCAGTTGGAGGCATATTGGTGAGTTTTCTTCCTCTTTTCTTTCCGTTTCAAGTCACTATGATATTTATAAAGTAACTTTACATTCCATAAACTTAAACTCATGTTAAAACTAAAATTGTCTCATTTTTGTTCTTGCAATCAGATCTACATAGCAATATTTTCAATTGGGTTGGGATCAGTTCCTTGGGTGATGATGTCTGAGGTATGTATGTATCATTTGACATGACACCAACATTTGTAATGGTTTAGATACATTCTTAGCTTGTCATTAAAGTAAAGCTAATAAAATTGAAATAGATAAAGACTAATGCGTTAAGAAGATCGATGACTCGATCTGCACGGAGCATAATATTAACACTTTCCATTAAAAAAAACAAATTTTGATATAGCAGGTGTTTCCTATAAATCTGAAGGGAATTGGTTAACAAAATAATCACAACTTGTATTGTAGCTTTTCCTAAGATAGATATAGTCATGAATAGAATGAGACTCCCTCCATGATGGAAATGGATGATATCCACACCGTCATGTATAGCAACATGACATCAAATGAATCATGTTCATCTACGAACATACATTTAGTGACAAGTAGACTTTGTCAATTGCCAACCTAGTTGATGGCACAACTCCAATGAAAACCATGTCATATTAGTGGTATCATGCCATGTTTAATTTTCCAGACCAATTTTTTAAGAGTTCAAATCGCACTTGCAGGAGGAGGTTTGTTCCCCAAAATGTTACCCGTGATATTATATCTAACGTGACCGCGCAAATGCCTATTCCAACTGCAAAATGGAGAGAATATCCAATTGAAATTAATGATGAGTTACTTAAGGATTTCATGGTAAGTCATTATATTATTTTGGTATTTGTTTTATATATAGATAAATTTATTTATATAATATTATATTGGTGGATAAATATAAGTTTGCTTCAGATTCTGAAAGCAATATTGCAAGAATAGTGTGAGAATGAACATGTCTGTATCGCTATCCTGATCATTTAAAAAAAAAAACAAGAAAAATGGTCTTACGACAAGCGAACTCAACAATAAAAGTTTTAAATATCTGAAATGAGAAAATATATGTTAATTTTTAATTATATATTGATATTTTTCATATATTTTTTGTTTTTTTTTTCAAAATAGATTTGAATCTAAACTATTGATTTAAATTTATATATGGAAACAAATTTATAAACGAGAATAAATTTCTTATTGATTCAAATAATTAAAACTTATATATGAGAGCAAATTTAACACGCTTCAAATATTTTTATAGATATTTTCAAAACTAAATTATTTTTTTTAATTATTTATGTTACTAATATTTTTATTTTGTAAATGAGAATAAATTTTTCATTAATCCAAATATTTTTATATAAATAAAAATATGTCTTTAAAAAAATAATAAATTCTTTTGATTATATAATTTTGTTTTTCTTTCTTTTTATTATTATTACATTTTAGAAACAAATATGTGTAATACACCGGTATCTATACTAACACACGTGTATTCCACTCGTTTATAGAGAAATATCTCCCGTACATCAGACATTCGAATATCAAATATAACATTTCTAATACATTAATATGATTCTCAATTACTATTTTAAAAATTATTATTTTTCTAATTATGTCAATTATTCATTTGTACATTATTTTGGATACATTAATGGGATCTGCCGGCAGGAAAAAACCTGGCCAAGAAATGTATGTTCCACATCCAATAAAAAGAATAAACTTGACACAAAGACTAACAACTACTACATGAAGATGACACATACAAAAATCCCAGAATTAATAACAACTGAAGTTAAAGTCATTTTCATTGTATGTGAATGAATATTGTTGGAGCCAAAAAAGCGAGCATGGCCAAGTAACTTTCGTTTCAATCTCAATTTTATCAGAAGAGTGTGTTTAGGACATGTTGCTTTCCACTCCATTTCAGACGAGAGTGATGAAGACTTTTTCAACCTATCAATATCAATTATGAATTTAAATATTTTTAATTAATCTTAAATTTAATTAATTATAGATTTATTTAATTAATTATGAATTTAAATATTTTTAATTAATTTTGAATTTAAATTATTTATTATATTTATAATATTATAAATATTAAAATTAATATTTATAATAATATAAATATAATAATATATTTTTTTATTAAATTAATTACTGTTTATGTGAGATTCTTCATTTAGCAAAGACAAATTTTGCGTGGTGAATTTCATCTTACAAAGGAAATTTTGTGAGGTGTTTATCACCTAACAAACAAATATCATGTTTCCATCACGTCCCTTCTGATACTATTTGATGCGCTGCTTTGATTATTGTACCCTAAAATTTATCATTTTGTCTTGTTTTTATCTGGCTTAGGTTTCTCATTTCATCAGCATAACATACACTAATTCGTAAAACATCTTTAGTTCAAAATATCAGTAATGTTAGGGTTTCACAGTGGTTGAGGTTTGTACATATCAGATGAAGGTTTATTTCTTCTAATTCTTCTGGTTTTTCTTCGAACAGTGAAGTGTAGAATTATGATTCTAATTTATAGTCATCAAAGACTTCCTTTTCATCAAGCTAAGAGGGTTATTCTTCTCAAAAACTCATCAAGTTCTAGAATCAGAGTTTATTTCTCTATATTTCTCAGAAGATCAGGATTTTCAATCTCTTGTGATCAAGTATAGAGTGAATTAGGATCTCTTCTCTGCATAAAAATACTTTCTTACATCAATTTTCCTCAAGATTAGGATTTGTGAATCATGTTGTAGCTTCTTGTGATTTATGATGCATTCCTCAAGAGAGTTAATGCATTGATTGAGATATCACAGTTATCTTTTCATCATCCATCAGGTTATTGATTCATGCTTCATACTTTCAATTTCTAGTGGCTTCGAGGACAAGGCATTTCACTTGGCTAGATGGTTTACTCATGAGGCTAGCCATCTTTTCTGGATTTCATTAGACTAAAGCCTAGAGTTTCTTTTGAAGCATTGGGATTTTTGTGGAACAATTGGTTAGAGAAAACCAAGGCTCATTCAATGTGATATTTAAGATGCAAGGCATTGTGGATTTGAACTCCAAACTTGATATAGCACTTCATTAAGTGTTCAAACATGGCATTAAGTTAATTTTAATCCAATTTTTGTGGAGGTATGAAGGTTACAAATGTTAATTCAAGAGCATTGATCCAAAGTTTTTGACCAAAAGTGATACCTAATATTCATATGTTTATGGCTTTGGATTCAAGTGATGGAAAGGCTAAATTCAAAAGGGGAAGCAAATTGGAATATGGAACCATTGGCAAAAATAGCAAGTTATGGCGTTGTTCAAGTTCCATCAAAACAAGTTATAGCAAAAATCTTCACAAAACCTTGATACAAAACAAGTTGCACAAGTCAGCATTGAAACAAATTTCAGCCCCGCACCAGTTAATTCAAAACAGAAATATCAGGAGGAATAAAAAGCACATCAGAAGAAGATAAAGCACGCATTCCTTCAATTCATCTTCGTCTTCTCGAGTACTGGTCTGCGGGAGGTAAACCGTGATACTTTCCTCTTCTTCGAGTACGGTGTTTGTTTCTTGTGTTGATTGAAACGAATCGAGGGAATAAGAAGCTGAAGCCGAATCGCGATGACGATTGAGACGGAGGTTGAAACGAACGAAATGGAGAGGAAGTGAGAGCGAGACGTGGAAGACAGAGGTTAATGGTGATGGATGTTGTGATGTGGGCTGGACCGAACTGTACCCCTACAAGCTCACTGCACCATGACTTTGTTTTGAGCTATTGGACCTTGAGTTGGGTTGCGCCTAGCATTTTACTAGGCCTAGCTTTTTCTGCTTTTCACACCCCTGATTTCTAGACTTACCCCCTGACTGTTTCTTTTAGTTTTTTATTTCTTTTTGGTTTCAATCATAATTTTTTATAATAAAAATAGTGGTAAAGGAAATAACAATAAAAAAATTAATTATTTTTTAGAAATATTAGAATTGTTTTAGGATTTTTCCTTTTAGAATTTAATTAGGATTTTTCCTTTTATTTTCTTTAACTATTTGTAGTTAATTTTGTACATAATTGTTGGCTATTACTTTTTGTTTGCAATTGGTAATACAAATAATGCATGATAGTGATACTTGTTGTTCACTTGATTTTAGACTTGTACTTTTATCTCTCTTTCATGCATCATGTTAGGTTTTTATTGATGGTTAGAAACATATAGCATAGTTGTATCTGAAGTCCTACGACACATATGCATTGGTTTTGTTTGCTACTGATCTTGCGGTTGATCAGAATCTAGAGAGTCGCCGGAGGATGATCTTCAGCCGGGCTGATGAGAGAGGGGGTTGTACCTGTAAGGTACTCCAACGACCAAGTAAGACTGGGAGCAAGAAGGTACTAGCAAAATATCAGGTAGTGAGTGGTAAATATGTGATACCTGGCTCTCACATGTGTGAGGGTTTATATAATTCCTCTAGCGCGTGACCATTGGTTCCTGATTTCCAGCCTAGATATGCGGGTCCTAAAAATCAGGTAACTTTCAGGACTTGGTCAAACCAGGAAGATGTGCTCGTAACTAGCCATTGATTCCGGGGAGGAGGCTGGTTGCAGGCATCTCTCTGGTTGGTTCATGGTGGCCTGCACGGCGCTGATGTCAGGCAGGCTGAGAAGACGCTCCACGGGCATCTTGGATCGGAGTTGGACCAGAAGGACAAGAGGGTGATATTGCCCGACAGGTGCGGACAGTCCAGGTCACCGTCAGCGGGTGGCACCCATGAGATGTCTTAGATTGGGTCCACTCAATCTTTCGGGCCATTCCAGAAAAGTAGCCCCCCAAGTCGTTGCTTCTGGGCATAGGAGTGAAGACTTTGACGTCTGCACGAAGGACAGAGGAATGAGCATTTGCCCGTTATACTTCTCTGTCGAGGAGGCGAAATGTTTGCCGTTGAGACCTTTGAATTTGGAGAGGTAGCGTGTTTTGGGAAATGTGTTGATCGAGCGACGCGAATGATGGCCTGAGGCTAGGGTGTCATAAAGACGACCCTGGGGTTCCCAAGGCGCGTGTTTGGTACGCGCAGGCTGTTTCAGCTATAAATACGAGAGGAACATGGCGATTAGTATTTTTGCCTTCTCCTTCAACTGCTCGTATTAGCTCGACAGTCGAGCACCGACATTTTCTCAGTTTCTTCACTCGCGGTCATCCAGCTTCATCCCTTCTTCTATCGGTGAGTTTTCGTTCCTCCATTGTTACATCTCTTAGTGTTTTCGTTTTTTTCCTTTTAGATATGTATGCAGTTAGGATTTAGGGTTCCGTTAGGGAAGAGGTTGTTAGAGACTCTAGGTGACGGACGTTGTTCGTGTGGCGCATGGTTGCTGGAGCCGCCATGGGGCTTCCTCGGGGGTCTGGCGTTGTGTGATA